GGCAAGTGCTTATTCTACTGAGCTAGCTCCCCAGCCCCTAGTGGGATTTATTTATTTATTTTTTTGGTGGAAACAGGGACTGAACTCAGGGCCTTGCACTTTCCAGACAAGCGCTTATTCTACTGAGCTATCTCCCCGGCCTCCCCAGTGGGATTTCTAAACAAAGAGCTTTACAGATTTTCCAGGCTACTGATGTAGATTGCCAAATTGCTGTCCAGAAAGGCTGTGCTGATTATACACTTCTCCTGGTCCTCTACACTTTTCCCTACACTGGGAATGGTTATCTTGGGTGTGGAGGCTGGGAAAATGATAAATGCAAATTCAGTATTTTAATTCATAAATTGTGGAATTATGCTGAATATTTTTCTTATCCGTACTGACAATACGTACTGAGTATGTTTCCTGTCTCACAGCTTATATTTTCTCCTAAATTGTCTTTCTGTCTCTCTTTAGACTGGTGTCTGGAGAAAGTTCTTTTTCTGTGGAGGATATTGGCGAAACATTGCAATTTTACAGAGAAAAGAAGTTCAGTAAAACTTGGTGAAAGCCACTCAGCAAGGCTGGGCTAGGACTGGGACACCGGTGGCCTGCACCAGGGTGGTGATGTCAGTGAGTGTACAAAGAAGAGACCAAACAGGGTCCCAGGCAAAGATCCAGGAGGCCCTGGCCCGGTAGACATCCGTGGCCTGCACCTGTGAGATGCTTTTCAAGTCATCTACAAGCAGGTGGGCCAAGGCCGATCACATCAGAGAGTCATGTTTTATGCACAATGAAAGAGAGAACAGACTACAGCTGAGGGTCACAGGAGGTCACACTTTAAAGGCACCTGCTGGTATCTGTGGGGAATGGGGATCTGAAAAAGCTCAGAGATGTCCCAGTATTACTGAAAGGCCGAGATGAAGAGCCCATGATCACCAGGGGAGGCAGGAATGGCTGCACCTGGATATGGTGCCAAAGGAGATGGTGAAGTCTTGGTGACACGTAGGAAAGATGTGGACCCTACCCAGCCTACCGCTTGTCTCACCTGTAGCACACAGAGGGTCTCTAAATCAAGAGCCGAAAACAGGCTGAGACCCAGCTGCTGGGCTGTACTGGCAGAGACGGAACCCTTGCCTACTGCGGTTATGAAAGCACAGTCACATCTCCTTTAACTAAAACAGCGTCACTTGGGGGAAAGAGACCTGAATCCCATGAACAGGAAGGACAAAGCACAGCTCCACACATCCATGATTTAGACTTTTTTTTTTTTCCAGTGCCAGGGATTGAACCCAGGGCTCCACATGCTAGGCAAGTGTTCTCCTACTGAACTACGTTCCCAGACACTAGCCTACCTGGAGACTAGGTGGTGTTCATGTAAAAGAGAATAAAATTATACTTTGTTGCTTTAATAATCATGATTTCAAAAAAACTTGATGATTGGTACTCCAACTCCCAGCTTTCAACACTCTCGGGCAACTTTCTCACCTGAAATGTATTGAGCAACCCCCGTGCTTCTGTAACTATAAGAGGTGCTTTACACCCATTGATTGTGCATGCTCCCAGCAAGCCTTTGTGTCGCAGACTTTATAGCCCCATTTAACAGAAGAGGAGACTGATCAGCTTCTTCTTCTTCTTCCCCCTCCTCCTCTTCCTTCTCTTCTTCCTCCTCTTCCTCTTCCTCCTCCTCCTCCTCCTCCTTCTTCTTTTCTGATCAGTTTCTGTGGCATTAAAACTTGGGGACAGAGTACCTATCTTTTTTTTTGGTAGTACTGGCAACTGAACTCAGGGGCATGGAGTCTCACTAAATCGCTCAGTTGTTCAGGTCGGGTTCCAACTTAGATCTTCCTGCTTCAGCCTCCAGAATGCCAGGATTCCAGCTGTGTGCCACCATGCCTGGCTGAGAAGTAGTTGCCTTACCAAGACAAGTTCGGTATTTATTCCTACCAAGACACATACATGCGTACATTTTTTTTTTCTGTTGCAGTGCAGGGATTTGAACTGAGGGCCTCCTACATGGTAAACACGCACTCTCCCACTGTGCTACACACCAGGCCCATAGGATGAGTGCTTAAAAAAGTTTAATAAGGTGTAAATTACATAGCATAAAATTTACCCTAAGTAACTTTTAAGATGGCAGGAACATGGGTACAAACAGAAATAGAAGTGTTATTTTCCTGCTAAAAATAAGGCAGGGACATGGTGAACCCTAGTGGTCAGGTTTCCATCCAGGAAGGAGCTGGGCGGGGTCTGGGATGCCTACCTTGGATTCCATACAGCCGGTTGAGGCGTGACCGCCGGGCTTCATCGGTGTAGGGGACGGCAAGCCAGGGCATCTCACTGAAGTACTGTTTGAAGGACTCCTCTGACCTACAGAGAGACACATAGGGAGATCGAGCCACTGGAGCACACCTCTTCCCCCACTGTCACCAAGCTGTGCCCAGGACCCCTGTGAGGCTAGGGTTTCTCATCATGGTGCTCCTTAGACAGCAGGCTATGGGCATGCGCTGTTCTACCTATTCTTGTCCCCACTCACCAAGCAGCATATGCTTCCCCACAGCCCAGTGGGCCATTTCATGTCTTACTTGCCCGCATTACAACAATTACATTCATGGCTGATTCTGTGTTTCCAATACAGATGACAAGCCTTACTTTCACAGGGAGCTTGGATGTACCCAGCCATCCCATTCCTGTGATATTTCTAGTTTACTTATGGGACTATGATCTTCAAATCAAGCGTGAACCTGTGACTCTATGTATAAAATACACAAGGGAGGACTGGATTACTCAAGGGATGGACAGATGGGGGCTTCTGAAGGGGTAAGGCTGGGGCCGCGCACTGACTGAGAAGGAGCATAAAGAACCTTCTGGGTGATGGCAATGTTCTCGCCTTGCCTGTAATGATGACAGTTACGCAGGTAATTAGGCAAAGCCCACTGAACTGCATACCTAATAACCTAATACGGCTGCAATTTTATTGTATAGAAATTGCATTTCCAATAAAGGTAAGATTGTTTAAGGCTTTAAAAAAGTGACTGCTCCCCCCAGCCTGGCTTAGGGCTGCCTCCACTCCCTTGAGCTGTGGCAGGGAGCTGTGGGGGGGTGGGGCTGGGGGAGGGTGTCACAGGCCAATAAACCAAGCAGGGGACAATGCACTGTGAGGACACAATGTGCGAAAGGTCTTTAGCATAGTGGCATCTCAGAGAACCCCTCTGTGAGCAGGAATTTAAAAGGCAGAAGAAGCTCAGGCTGAATCAGGGCTGGAGCTGAAGGGAGCTCACTGATTAGTGAAGCCAGAGCGATATCAAGAAGGGGAGGAAAACTGAAGCTAAAAGGACCTGCCTTGCTCCAGGAAGACTGTCCTTCTGGCCTCCTCGCTTTTGTGATATCCTTATCTGTGTGCTTTCAAATAGCCCCCAGCCAGAGTTTGTGGCCAGAGCAAAGAAAACAACTTCATATCCATCCAAGACAGATGTCACATTGTATTAGTCTCTGGCTCCCTTCCATCTTCCCCATTCCACATCCTTTTCTCACAATCTAGAAAGCTGAATGAATCAGAAAACACATCCCGATCTCGAATAGCTCAGGCCTGCACTGGGACATGCTGTGATGTTTACAGTAAGGGTAGGTTTTTTCAGACAATCACATGAGTAAATGTGAAATGTACCTGCCTCCCACCAATAATCTCAGATGTCTTCCCCAACCTCTACCTTCACACCCTCCGACAAGAAAGAGATGGAAAGTTGAAGAAACGGATGCTAACTGCTACAGCGAAGGAGTGCGGCACTGCCTCTCCGCACAGACAGACACACGTTACCTGTCTGCGCTAACAAAGATGATCTCAAATTTCTGGCCTGCCTCCTTGATCTTCCGGTAAGATTCAACCAGCACCCGGGTAAGACTTCGGCAGGGTGGACACTGAAAGAAAAGAGCAGAATCCTGATGCGTGATGAACCGTCTCTATTTCTTAGCCACCAGGTCAGCAAGAGCCAAATAGGACTGGGACAGCAAAACCCAGTGGCAAGCATCCAGCAGAGGCTCTGTCTAGCCCACGCAGTGTGCCAGCAGGCAGCAGTTAGAACAGCCCCCTGGGAGCCCTTAGAGGTATCATCTGCATGGATTAGGAGGAATATCCTTTTAGATCAGTTCAAAGAAGTCATTTTTGTGTGTCTACTATCATTCATAGCATTAAGCACTCACTAAATACCAGAATGCATCAGGTGCAAAAGGCAAGAAGGACAGGAAATTCCTGCCAAGAGCAGGCACACCTCCAGAAGCCAGAAGCCAACCATAGCTGGGCTTGGCGGCGACACTGCTGCTTCTTCTTGTCCAGACTAGGGAGGGACCAAACACTCACCCAGTGTGCGGAGAAATAGACTCCCACGTGAGACCCCTCCAGGCTGCTGCTGTCCTGCGACTGCCCATTATTTCTAAGCAAGGGTCCTGCGATGACTTCCCTGAAGGGCTTAGGTCCCCAGGGGAATTCCAGACCTGAAACAGGCAACAGATGGTGTAACCATCAAGGCTTTTTCATTATGACCTAGGACCCAGGGAGCCTCAGGGCTGCAGGCAAGACAACTTAAACTCAGAATACAGAAGCAAGGCTGGAGATGTACAGGCGAAATAAAACAGAACAAGCTGGGCATGAGGGTACATGCCTGTAATCCCAGTACTATATTTGGAAGGCCGGGGTAAGAAGATTGTAAGTTTGAGTCCAGCCTGGGCAATTAAATTAGCAAGATGCTATCTCAAAAATAAAAAATAAAAAGTCTGGAGGTGTAGAACAGTGTGAAGGCCCTGGTTTCAATTCCCTGTAACCCCTCCACCCCCTATCACACAGAACAAAACAGAACAGAATAGAATGGAACAGAACAGAACAGGACTTCCTAACTATTTTGACAAAGGCTAGATCTGGAAGTCACTGCCTCACATATTAACCCTAAATCAGTTTAAGCCCAACCAAGCCAGGCCTCTCACTGGTTCTCTCTGTTGGCTGTATATTAGGATCAAACAGGGAATGAAAAAGTAGGATGCTACTGGGACCCACCCCTAGAGATTCTGATTCAGTTGGTCTGAGTTGGGACTCAAGGAATTAAATGAAAATTTAAGAGTAATAAAAAAAAAGAATAAAACCCACTTAGCCCGGATGCTCAACAGTGTGATGATACTTAAACTTCAGGCAGGAAGAATAAATAATAGGCTCCCAGTTCAACAGAAGAGCATTTTCTCACAGGGTGGTCCAAGGCCCATTGCCTCAAAATTGCCTGAGGGGTCCAGGACAGGAGAGGGGAGTACAGACCAATTAAAAATGTAGGTGGCCAAGCCCACCCTGAAACACAAGCATAGAAAGATCTCTGGGAGAAGGCCTCGGCCATTTATATTGTCAACAATCTTTGGACTAAGGTGTGTGTGTATGCCAAGCACAGGCCTTGATTCACCATGCCTTGGCTTTTACAGGGAACAGTCTTTCAACACAGGTGAATTTCTTTTTAACTGAAGAAATTCATGACCAGGGCTGAAGCCTCTAATCTGAGCAATAGTGAGGGAGGGGAGGTTGTGCAATTCTTAACACTCCAATGCAAATAGGAAAGAAGCAGACCATTGCTGGCCCTGCAGCAGGGGTCCGAGCAGCTGTCCTAGTCCACGGCTATGTTCAGCGAATCAGCAGGACCTAGCGCAAACTCATCCTGGCCAGGAGAGCACCCAGGGCTTGCAACCCTCCTGTCTGTGGTGGACAGCTGGAACAGCCCTAATCAGTCCTCTGGACCCTGAATTTGAAATCTGGAACTTTTTGACAGTTATTGGTGGTCATAAAGATTCGGATTTGAAAGCATTTAGGATTTCAGTTTTTTAGATTAATGACAATGAGTAAAGCCTATGCAAATATTCTAAATTCCGAAAAACTCCAAAACTGAAAACATTGCTGCTCCTAAGCATTCTAGATGAGGGATATTCAACCTATATTTCAAAAAGGGGGGGGGGGAAAGAAAAAAGAAAAAACCCACTGCACTTAACCTGGCTTAACCGTTGAGGTGACAGCCACCGTGGAAGCAGCACTAGAAGCCAGGAAGTATGTGGGTCTTCACTGTTTCCCAGTGGCCTCCTGAGTCCTCAGAGCTGGGCCTTCTTTTCCAGACTCCATCTGCTTTCGCCCATGAATTAAAGCCCCCTAGAGGGACTTTCTGGTCCCTTTATAAATCTTAACCATGACCTACAGAATGCTATAATTTCATCAAGACAATGTTTTCTAGCCACATAAACCCACTTACACACATTTTATTAGTGCTGCCTGCGCCAGCAAGGAGGGGGTCGCGGCAAGGGGTGGGGGGAGTCAGCAATAAGAGTGAAGCTAGTCACACGGTGACACCTCACCTTCTGGGTCATCGCGGATCACCAGGAGCCCGTTCCTGCACACAACCTTGCCAGTGCTAGCATCTAGGAATATTAGCGATGGAATGTTGGAAATCCGGTATTTGTTCCAAAGTTTAAGCTGTAAAATGAAAAGAAGGTGGTGAGATCCAAGCCAAAGTAATTGTAGAATTGTGTTTAGGCCTTCAGGCCCCACAGGGAGCTAAGTAGGGAAACACTGAAGTGTAAATAAAGGAATAAGTGGGCCGCAGGGCAAAGGTGCAGGTTAATTATAATCCCATGTGCGCCCTGGTCTACACAGAGCCCGAAGTCCCACCAGGCTCCATCCAGCTGTGGCGAGGGTTGATGCAGAACTGCACTTTTTCTCTCTCACTTTCCCATGGGCACATTCTCTGAAAAGCATGAGAATGAAGCCACACTACATATCCTAAGACACTCAGACCTCCGCGGACAGCTAAGGAGGGAAGAGGAACTTCCTTCCCCCCAGCAGGTAGAGGTCGTAGGCTGCTCCCCTGCTCACCTGCTCCACTGTGTCCCCTTTGCTCCAAGGGAGAAGGGATGGCTTTTCAGTGAGAGTAAGGAGTTAAGATTCCCCTCCAACCACCTCCTCACCAGGCTCACATGTGAAATGGCATAGCATGAGCCATTTGGATACCCTGAGCCAGCGCCAACCCGCAGCAGCCCACGGTACCACTCAAAACAACCTTCAGCTGACGGGGCGGGCTGTTGAGGTTGGCTGTGCAAACTGTCAGAGGTGCAGGGTCTAAGAGGAATGAGGTCAAGAAAATGTGAACATAATCATCCAGGCGGGAAGCCAAGTGTGTGCAGGCCCGGCGTTTGCTGTGTGCCCCACGATAACGAACACCATTCAGGTGGGGTCTAGGTGCTTGGGAAAGTAACTGCCAAACTCCCAAATACTCTGAAATGAAATGTCGGCCTGGCAACACAGTTGCAGCAAGAAATCAAGGGCCAACACACTCACACCCACTGGCTAGGACACTCTGCGGTGAGCCTCCCTTCTGGAAAGCCGGGGCCAGCCAGGGAGGTTGGGTACTCGCTCACAGCATGCAGCAGGGACGAGGCGTGGGGCTGCGACCCGCTCAGCTCTCCACTCAGCCCCAGCAGGGAGGGCACAGGCCAGGGCACCTGCCAAAACCGTCAGGTTTTCCTGCCTGCGGAGACAGGACCTTGGCAAGATGAGTTGCAGTACCTCCCGCCACGCCGGGCGGGCTCCCTGGCACACTGCGTATTTCTTCCAGCCCTGCGTTTTTAGTGGGCACATGAAACAGCTTCTCAGCAAGAGCAGCTCTGAGCTCTGCACATTCTGTGATAAAGTATATTCACATTACTCCACCGAAACCAGCCACGGGGCTCAGGGGAAACCTTCTTAAGAAAAAGGTCTAAGCAAACAAGTCCATTCTGCACTGTGGCTTGCTCCACAAATCTGCTGTGTGAGGGTCCAGGCAGGTGGTCGGCTTTTTGTAAAGTATGAGATTTTTGTTTGTTTAAAAAGCAATCTGGGGAGGGGGAAGTAAATCATTGGGAAACACAGCAAATCACAAAAATTAAAGCAGAAAAAACCCGCATGACTTATCACTTAGGAGAGCTTAATCCATTCTATATTTCCGCCAGCTGGAAATGAGGCGCTCCACTTCTAGCATCTTCACATTTTCGCTGACACTAGTTTTTCCAATTTGATAAGGAAAGAAATGTACCTGAATGTTTTTGCTTATCTTTTACTTGTTATTTACGGGATGTACTGTAGTAAATACGCATTTTGTTTCCCTAGCATACTTTATAACTGGCAAGCACTGAAATTCACTCTGCAGCTATTAACTGACCTACTATGTGCTAGATTTATCCTTAACACAACAGAACAACAATAACAACAAAAACCAAAGCAGATGAAGTCGTTTCCATCACAGAGTATCTGTTCTGGTGTGAGAGACAGAAGAAAAACAAAGATAGGACTAGAAAGATAATTTCAGAACTTTGTAAGGGACAGAAAGGAACTGCAGTAGGGGAAGAGCAATGGCACATGCTGGAGAGGGAGCTACATTTTAGGAAGCATAAACTAGAGTCACTGAAGAAAGACACTTGGTCGCCAACCTCAGTGATGCAGTGGAGGGTGCCACATGCACAAGGGGGAGGCCACTGGGGGAGGCCCAGGGGACCTGCATAAGGCTGGGAAGCTGGTTGTGAAGGCTGGAGTGGATGCAGCCAGAGGCAGCCGGTGTGGGGCTGTGATGAGCCAAGGGCAGGACTTGCATCACAGCAGCACAGTCAAGATGCGATCTGTTCTGAAGACAGAGGTGGCAGGGTTGGTGGGCAGACTGAGTATCAGGGTGGCAACGAAAGACAAAGATGATGTATGAAAATTTGGGAGATCCTACATTTTGGATCTTAAAAATATTCATGGGTTAATATGTTCCTGCCAGCTTGAACCACTGGTGGCATAGACACGATTGGCCCATCAGGTGGCTTGTACCAGCAGTGCTAGAAATGGCACGGTCATGCATATATCACTGGTGGTTCAAGCCAACTGGCAGCAAGACTCAGAAATGACAGCTGCATTCAGAATATGACAAAGGCTTAGTGTCCAGTGTGGTGCTATTGGGAGATGACAGGACCTCTAGGACAATCTTTTGGAGCTTTGAATGATACAAGCCACACTGCAGCACACGTGCTTCACCACAGGCCCAGAGGCAAAGACACCAGGTGACTATGGACTGACACCTCTGAAACCATGAAGCTTAATAAACCCTTTCTCTTCATAAGTTATTTTAGGTATTTTGTTACAGTTACAGGAAGCTGACCAACACAGGCACATGATTATATGTGCTGTGGAGGGATCCTATTAACCAAGATGAGGAAAAACAGAGCAAGAGCTCATCTGAAAGTTAAAAGTCAAATCAAGTTCAGTTGGATCAACTGTGAGGAGGCTTTGTTCTTGTCCTGCTGTATTTTCTTTCTATCCCTTATAATAGTCTGAAATTATTTTTCTTTTCCTTGTTTATTTTCTTTCTCACCAGAACACACACTCTATGATGGCAACAACTTCATCTGCCTTGTTCTTCCTTGTGCCTGTCGAGATTTCAAACCAGCACCTGGATTTAAAAATCTAGACTCTGGGGAGAAGGAGGCTTGAAGTTTCAATCAAGGATATCAGATTATCAGTTGTATAAGGTCATGGATCTGTTGAGACCTTCTAAGGAGAGGGCCTGTCTGATAAAGACATCCCAGGACAGATCCAGGGACTGCAGACACTGGGGGGCCGAAGAGTGCTGGGGGAAGCAGAGGCAGGAAGGAGCAAAGAGTGGGCAACATGGAACACGCTGCTCAGCTGTGACCTTGATAGGATCAGGGAAATCAGTGGCATGGAAGAGGAATGGGCGCAGTTCTGTCTGGTACACTTGCCCCAAATGGGCCTGCACATAAACTCAAGTCCTCTTGACAACACAGGAGACACCAAGAGGAGAATAATGAGGGGGTGGGAGGGGAGGTTATAAGAAAAGAGAAGCCAGGCATGGTGGCACCCAAGTGGAATTGCAGAACTCTGGGAGACTGAGGCAGGAAGATCACCAAGTTTGGGCCTAACCAGGGCAGTTCAGTCACATGAGAAGATACTGTCTCAAAATACAGAAAAAGGGGATGTAACTCAGTTCAACAGCCCTGGGTTCAATCCCAAATACTTCTAGGAAAGAAAGGAGGGAAGGAAGGGTCTGAGGGAGTGACCATGAATAATTCTCTTGAAGAGTTTTGCTGCAAAGGGAGTGAACAAGTAGGGGTTTCCTTGGAAAAAAACACAAGGAGGTAAGAGGGAGGACATTTTAAAGATGCAGTAACATGCTGAGCAATAATGTGCTGCTGAGCTGTGGCCAGCTAATTCCAGCTACTCAGAAGACTAAGGCAGGAGAGTCTCAAGATTGAAATGAGCCAGGGCAATTTAGAGATGCTTTCTCAAAATAAAATTTTAAATAACTGCGGGTATAGACCAATCCTTGTAACACACACACACACACACACACACACACACATACACACACACACACACGTTATGCTAACATGCTGAGTGGGCTGACCTAGAAGACAGGAAGCAAAAATGAAAAAACCCTTAGTCCTTGAATGTGCTGCAAAGTGAGACTAGGTCACAAATGGGAAAGCGGAGTCATAAATGTAGGTACTTAAGTCTGCGTGTGTGTGTGTGTGTGTGTGTGTGTGTGTGTGTGTGTTACTGGGGACTGAACCAAGGAAGCACTGAGGTACAGCCAGGACTGTTTTAATTTTATTTTATGACAAGACCTTGTGAAGTTGTCTCAAATTTGCAATCCTATTGCACGTTTCCTGAATGGCTAGGTTTATAAGTGCAGAGAATCATGTCCAGTTTGTTTGTTTTTAAATGTATTTGATAGAGGGTCTCACTATGCAGCTCAGACTCATAGTGATCCTCCTCCATCACCAGATGGGGCTGGTGAGATAGCTCAGTGGACTAAGTGCCTGCTTAGGCAATAGCAGGGACCAAAGTTCGACCCCCCCGCACCACATGTGGCACCCACCCCGGCCCTAGGTGTGGTAGCTCACACATATAATCCCAGAGCTGGGAAGGCTGAAAACAGGAGGATCACTATGAGTCTGAGCTGCACAGTGAGACCCTGTACCAAATACATAAAATGAAAAAAATCTGAATAGAAAGTCAAATTATTTGCAAGTAAAGACAATTCTGTCTTCTCTTTTTTTTTTGTATATAAAACTTTTATTTTTGCATACACAGGCTTATGAATTCAGTGAAATGAAAGTGGAAAGATAAACATAATTTGGTAACATTTGTTGCATTGAAGAGGAGATGACTGGAAGGGAGAGACTGCTGATTTTCACTTGATTTACATCTGTGTTGTTTGAACACATTACAATGAACATATATTGCTTTTATTTCTTTTTTTTTCTTTTCAAAGTTTTATTGATAAACATATAGCAATGAAACAGTTTCAAATCAAATCGAAAGTACAGTTTCAACAAATAATACACTGCATACATTCTTCCTAGTGGTTAATTGCTGTACAATGTCTTCTCTTTTTAATAGTTACACTATTTGTATCTTTTTCTTCTAGAAGTATAGTAGGG